TCAGAACAAATGATCTTAAGCAATAGTTTATGCCAAGTGAATGATTAAGAGAACTTGTTCAGTATGTCAAGAACACAACAGTTGTATTATTAGTAGTTACCTTGTGCTGGTGGTCGTGGAAGCTCAGGTGCCACACAGGGTCACTTTCTGGCACAGTCTTGACACTTTTATAGCACAATATACACATTGCGATAGTTCAAGACACTTTGCAACACACACGTCATTGATAACACTTTACGACACTTTACGAGAGTTTATAGCATCAATGGCACTTTATTGACACTTTACGACATCAATGGCACTTACGACACTTTGAGAGGCTTTACATCACCTTACAACACTTTTCGACACCGTATGCCAGTCACTATTGTATGTTGTTTTGACACTTTATAACTTCAGAGACCTTATGCCACTTTAAGACACTATGAAACTACAGTATGAGTATATGTCTTTTTACGCCACTTAAGAAAACTGACGCTTTAGGACACTTTAGGTCACTGGCACTTTAGGACACTGACACTTCATAGCACTTTTTCATTGTTCACAACTTCAATTATACGACATTTATTTGACTTAATGGCACTTTATCATACTTACTGGCACTTAAAAGCGCTTTATAAGACTCTGGAATATTACATGAATCTGTGACATAACGTGACACTTTTGGGCACTTCTTAACACCTTATGCCACTTTACGACACTTTACACTACTCGTACGTGTTTTGGCTCCCACAATTACTTTATAACACCTGTAGGTCTTCACGACACAAACACAGGCGCTTGCATTTCGGCACCTCAGCTATCTAGAGAGATTAGAGCGCCTGGAACTGCCTTGCTTATACTACAGACGGGAAACGAGTGACATAATTGAGGTGTATAAACCTCTCAAAGGACACTAATCAGTCGAGTGTCCATACCTGGAGTTGACGGACGTCCGCTCCACAAGGGGTCACAGCTCAAGGATGAAGAAGCCACAAGTCCAAAAAACTGAGGGCAAACTTTTTTCGGCGTGATAATTGTGAATTCGTGGAACAATCTTATAGAGAGTGTTGTAATAGCACCGAGTGTGAGCTCTTTCAAGACCAGACTTGACCAGCACTGGAGCAGGTTCAGATACATTCAGGAGCCGGTGCATACCCAGTACTTGCCAACAGTGCGTAAACAGAAACGTGACCGATCACCCAAGTGGCTAACGAGCTGATCGGTGGTGAAGAGGACAAAAGTAAGAGTTAATTTCAGTCTCTTCACCGGCTATTTGTGTTTGTCTTAGCCTTCATGAACGTCCTTACCGGCACTAAGGCAGAGACACCACTGTGTATGATTTGTCTTGTTAGAGACCTCGTCGCCTCTGTTGACATCAAGGAAGATAGAAATATATACAGGGAGGAATTAGTATATCATTCTAGTAAGGTTCGGCCCCTGACTGCTGCGCCGTCTCCCGAGAAGCTCCCTTATTATAGAAAACGTACATGGTGCTTAAGAAAACGGATTTAATTTACCCATAACTATTATAACTATTTTCGGCATCAAACTCCCTCATCATAGAAAACGTGTAGCTGTCTAAAGAACGATCATGTCTTTAGCGAAGACTCTTCTCATAATCCGTCTACGAATTTAGTTTTAGAATCCATTGCATAAAAATGTATGGAAGAAATCTACATGATTATTTTTGTCCATCTCGTACCTTTGATTAAGGATTATAGTTTTTAGACAGAAATAAGGTAAATAAGACCACTGTTTGTTTATATATTGAACAGTCTCCTAAAAGTATCGCTAACCATGGGGGCGAGGTGAATCGAAGCCTCCCGAGCAGTGTTACTCGACGTGTTTCTGAACGGTTGGTACCTCTACGTCCGGGACCTTTGAGCATGAACGGTGCATGAATTAATATAGCTTAATGTATTTCTTGTTATAATAAACTATCTACAGTAGCACGCCATAGATGGATGACTCCCTCCCCATGCCATAGGTGGATGACTCCCTCCCCCCATCCATTCTTTCTCCTCTCCCATTTCCTTTCCTTTTCTTTCACTACGTCCCATCTCATTCCTCTCTCATTTATTTTCCTTTCTTTTACTTTCCTCTCTCCCTCCCACCTCTCCCCCCCCCTCTCTCTCTCTCTCTCTCTCTCTCTCTCTCCTTCCTCCTTTTTGGCTCCGCTGTTCTGAAATTAATCATCGCTAAATCCTAATATATATATGAGCGACCCCCAGAAGTTTACCTCTCCATCAGCGCGGTTTAACCCTCCTTACCCTCAGCCTTAACCCAAGTCAATGTTCTTAAAGGTTTACACACGAGCGTAACAAACAACTAGGTCCAGAATATTATGAAATGGTCTAATTAACTGAATAAATTTTGTATCATATAGTTATTACAGTAGGTAGTAGGCAGGTATCAAACAGGGAGGTACTATTGCCTAGGAATATATTGGAAGCATAATGTGTTGTCTAATGGTAGACCCTGCTGCTATATGGCATCACGAATATTGTGACCAAGTTTCAGGTTGCTCATCTGACTCTCTGCCTCATTTACACACAGTTGCAGGGTCTCACTTGTTTCTCTTACTTTGACAACACAACATACAGTACGTTTATCATCTCTCACTAAAAATGACCTGTGCTCTGGTGGGTTAATGCTCGTAAAAAAACAAAAAATAAAACAACCTCGATAAGATCTGCCATGTTCAGTCAGGTCACACCGGATAGCCCCTCTCTTAAATCTGACCCAAGCTGCTATCAACCCTAAGTCAGTGTAGCGAGAAGGAAGCGTGGTATTGCTGGACTACCGATAACTACTTTCCTGCGTACTGAATTATGTCTGTTTCTTAAGTAGACGTGCGTAAAAGCGTATTTCATGCTTTTTACTAGAGATTCTTTATTTTATTTCCCGTTAACAGACGTACAGAGAAGAATACCCAGCATAACTTACCGAATTTACGAATTATATCATTCACAACCACTTGCGTAAAAGCGTAACTTAACCAATCCTCTAAGTTTATTTTCCTTTTACAGCCCTTCACTTACAGACGAGCGTAAAAGTGTATTCCAACGTTATTCGCCTGGCACTCTCAACACGTTAGAACCAAGCGAGGGTACAGTGCCAGTCCACGATAGTCGTCAACAACTTTTCAACTATTCCACCGGGACGGGAGGAAGAGGGAGAAGGGAGGAAGAGGGAGAAGGGAGAGGAGGTTGCTCTTCAATTCTCTGTGAACTCTTGTTAACCCAGGACGAGGCTAGAGTGACGTTCGTGTGAGGTGCGTGACGGAGGTACAGTACGTGATGGAGGTACAGTACGTGAGGGAGGGGTACAGTACGTGAAGGAGGTAGAGTGCGTGATGGAGGTACAGTACGTGAGGGAGGGGTACAGTACGTGAGGGAGGTACAGTACGTGAGGGAGGTACAGTACGTGAGGGAGGTACAGTACGTGAGGGAGGTACAGTACGTGAGGGAGGGGTACAGTACGTGAAGGAGGGGTACAGTACGTGATGGAGGTACAGTACGTGAGGGAGGGGTACAGTGTGAGGAGGTAGAGGCGTGATGGAGGTACAGTGTGATGGAGGTACAGTACGTGAGGGAGGTACAGGTGAGGGAGGGCAGTAGTGGGGAGGGTGTGAGGGAGGTACAGTACGTGTACAGTACGTGTGTACGTGAGGTACAGTACGTGAGGGAGGTACAGCGTGATAGTGTACAGTGACGGGAGACAGTACGTACAGTACGTGAGGGTACAGTACGTGAGGGAGGTAGGTACAGTACGTGAACAAACAGTACAGTACGTGAGGGAGGTACAGTACGTGAGGGAGGTACAGTACGTGAAGGAGGTACAGTACGTGAGGGAGGTACAGTACGTGAGGGAGGTACAGTACGTGAGGGAGGTACGTAATCGCCAAATCCTAGTTTAAACTTGAATTGCTAAAAGTTCATTATATTTAGGCTTTTAAATCATTGCCATGCTATCGTTGAACCCCTTAGATTAAACACATATTCAGGTGTGTTTAGGAAGGTACACAGGTATGTTATCTCCACCATACAAGAATTATCATCAGAAAAAACCCGATCTGTTATCTTTTGTTTATATATATCTCGCATTGTTAGTCTCTAAATTAACCCACATCGTCAAAAGTTAACTAACAGACGACTTTTGTTCTCTAAATCCAAGAAGTCTTTTTTTTTCCTTCTTTTTTTTTACGGGGATTAACCCACCCGGGCACAGGTCACCGACTCACATCGGGACCTGGGGGGCGAAAATGTAATAATAATAATAACAATAATAATAATAATAATAATAATAATAATAATAATAATAATAATAATAATAATAATAAAGATCAAAGTGAAAAACAATATAGCCTATGTATGTTTTGTTGTCAATAGTAAGAGAAACAATATGAAAGCTTTCCTCCATCGGATCCAAATCCTTTATGGCCCAGACTAAGAGGATCTGAACCTATTCCCAGCAACTACAATGTAATCCTCACACAACCCCTCCCCCCACACACACATACACACACACACACACACACACACACATCTACTCCAGACCTCCTCCAAACTCCAAAGTTTAATTACACCGCTAATACCCTCATCGCTCCCCTTTCCTTTCTTCTCTCTCTCTCTCTCTATCCCCCTCACTCTCTATCTTCCTCTCCTCTTCTTTGTTATCTTGGCAGTCCCACAGGGGTTCTTGTTATCTTGGCAACCACTACAGATATTCTTGTTATCTTGGCAACCACTACAGATATTCTTGTTATCTTGGCAACCACTACAGATATTCTTGTTATCTTGGCAGCCACTACAGATATTCTTGTTATCTTGGCAACCACTACAGATATTCTTGTTATCTTGGCAACCACTACAGATATTCTTGTTATCTTGGCAACCACTACAGGTGTACTTATTACCAAAAACAACAGCTACAGGAATCCTCGTTATCAAAAGATGTTATTCAAGCTTTCATATTTTAATTTCAACTAAAACTATTCTCACTCCCTTCCTCCTCAGATGGGAGTCCCCCTCGTTGTCTAGGCAACCGTTCCTGGCGTCCACGTTACCAAGACAACCGTTGGAGGTGTTGTCAGGAACCTTACAACAGGCCGGCCAGTTGGTGAATCGAGTTCGACCCATTATTCCAGATGGTCACAGGAGGTTTCAGTTCTATATGTTTGGGGGGGACGGCCAGCTGGTGCAGAGGTGGATGTCTCTACAGCAAGTTCAGGTGAGGAGATGGTTTATTGAGTCAAGGTAATAATAGGTTCTGTGAGTCCAGGTATTTATAGGTTAGGTGAGTCCAGGTAACGATAGGTTCTGTGAGTCTAGGAGAGAGAGAGAGAGAGAGAGAGAGAGAGAGAGAGAGAGAGAGAGAGGAATACACGAGTGACTGTAGCATGATTAATACATATTCCTCCAGTTGCCCTGATGAAAGCCTAAGATAGAATGAATGAATAACTAATACAAACGATAAGGAATAAAACAAATAAAGAGACAAATATAATCGGATAATAAGAGTTAAAAATAAAAATAAAAATAATAAAGAATAAATGAAGAGAGACAAATAACCCGATTAAAAAAAATTAAACATAATAGAAATAAAGAATAAATAAATAAATAAAAATAAACTAGTAAATAAAGTAAATAGCTAGAAAAATCAATGAATATAAATAACACTCAAGCACCTTTAAACACCAGGTGAATCCCCCCTCCCCCAGAAGCAAAATTTTAAAGACGAGAAAAAGTTTTCATGATGTAGACGAACTAAAGAGACACTTAAGAAATTAGTTTTATGAATAAGTTAAACTGATGTGTAAGACAAGGTCTCCAGCAGCCGGGGAGGAATACCGGGGAGGAAAACCGGGGAGGAATATCGGGGAGGAAAACCGGGGAGGAATATCGGGGAGAACCATATGGCAACATCTGGCTGGGAAGAGTGCCAAGTGGTGGGTTTTAGTGTAAGAGGATGAACAAAGGCAATGATAGATTCAAACACACAGTTATATAATATGTTACACAGTTACACGTGTTTATATAATGACTGAACACACTACGATGTAAACAAACACATAGTTGTCACTTTTCACAAAACATGCCAGTCACTGTACCAGGTGAAACTGTGGCCGACTGTACCTCTTTTCTGTATTCACTAATTTTTACCACATTTTGCTGAATAACACTTCGCCTGTAGAAAAATAAATTATTACTAAGCTCTCTAACTATAATATTCAGCTTAGGTTTTAAAGGAAACATCCACTTTAAACATTAACAATCAATATGTTTCCCTTACTGCATTTGACTCAACTGTTGAAGACTGTGTGAACAATAATGGAAGTCAGAGCGTGACATGACTGCAGTTGTTGAGTTGCTTCCTAACAATTTACCCAGCGGAGCGTGACAGGAATAAACACGTAAAGATGCCTAATGTTGATTAAATCATAGAGTTAAGTGAAGACAATTAGTAGTTCCTCGTATACCAGAAATTATTAACGTGGAAGGGCAGTACGTAATTAAGACAACCAGGTGATTTTATAACGAAATGGAAAAAAAACAAAACATTTATGGTTATCCGGCCTCTTGTAATTAAATTTACTTGTTCATACACCTTTATATGTATATTTTTATGAAATATGTATATCAGCTATACAAACATATATTATTTGCAAACACATGTTATAATAATGTACACACACACAGATACACACAGATATACAAACACTGTGAACACACACACACACACACACACGCACACTCCACCAGACACACAAGTGAATAAGGAAAATCAACTTAAGCTTCGTTATACCAATTACACACAATGTTGCAGTAACTTACAATGCTATTCTCACCCTGCATAGACAGATGCAAGGAGAGACAGAGAAATATTTCTTTCTTTCTTTCATTCTTTCATTATTTCTTTCTCTATCACTAGTCTAGATTTTTACTTTATTATTTTAATGAAGGCCAGAGCTGGGAATGTTGTGTTTTGGGGGACATTCAGGTAGGCCGTGTGTTGAGTTATCTCCTTGATGATAATTAAGGTGTAGATTGGAGACAGGTGTACGAGACAGGTGTAGGAGACAGGTGTAGTGAGGTGGGGTGTGTCTCTCTTTCCACTGTATATGAGCTGTATATCCTAAAATTCTATTTCCCAGTTTATTTACTCCAACTTTCTTCTTAGCATTAAATTTATTTTTTGTTTATTGTATCTAACCTAACCTAACCTAACCTATCTGCTGTCGCCCTTCACCTTCCAATCTATCAAGTTCCTATTCCCTATTCTCCTATATCCTTCTACCGTCTTATCTCTTTTCCCTTATCTATCTTCTTATCTGTCTCTTCTCTCCTTCATCCTTCATAAAATCTTTCTTTATGTCCTTATCTCCTTCACTCGAGACACGGCCAGTTAACAGATCCTCCCAGATGATAAGATAATAAATGCATCAGTTGGTAATGTACACACAGTCAAAAAAGTATCTTTACGGCGTGGGTCGATGAATTGTAAATGAACACTGTGACTCCTGTTGTCTCTGTAGGGTTTTCAAAATCATTCGTCCGTTGTGTCATATTGTCTAACACGAAATTGTAGAGATATATTTTTATTACGCCTTTGATACATTATTATATCCTCTTTAGTCTCTGGTAGGTCAACATAGAAGCTACTTAGACTGGTGATATGTTTTCCTTTGTTTTGTTACCCTGGAATATAAAAAAAAAACAGGTCGTAATACGGTAGACGATGTTCCCGAGGTGTCTGCGTTAGTATTAATTTTACCTTCATCTCAGGACCTTCTGCTAGAGCGAGGACCCTATGGAGGAGAAGGCAGCGGCGCAGTAGGAGGTGTGGCGCTATACTCAGCCGGGGGAGAGTTGACGCCTATCAGTGAGCGACACCCTGGCCTGCCCACCCGCCCAGATGACAACATCCAGGGCATCATAGACACGATCCAGCAGGTATGAACACTGATCATTAAGTAAAGAGAATTGACTGAATTATTTGTCTTACCGAAGTCAAGTTACATGACATCGCAAACATGATATAAAAGATCTCGTCCTCTGGGTACGTCCTCCGGCAGTAGTAGTGTTCATTAACACCTAATTTACCTTGTGCGGCCTCCTTCAGGTGGTGTCGTCAGAAGTGATCCAGAACAAGCAGCAGCCGCCAACCTTCCCTCCCAATCTCACCGATCACTCCGGGGAATCCATCAAGATCCCTGACACCATCCTGCAGAACCTCCTTAACGTCTCTCACCACCTCACGACGCAGTGGCAGTTCCCCACCACCACACCGCCTCCTTACACTCAACCTGTGGACACCGACACTACCGCCAGCGAACAGTCCGCCGCCATCACACTAGCGACGGAGGTTTCGAGCACAACACAGGAGGTTATCATAGGCGAGGAACCGACTATCAGGCAGCCAGTCGGATTTAGAGTGACAAATAAACCATTGAGTAACGACAGGTGGAACAGTCGCTTCCCGGCGTGGACTGAATATTCTGCAGAAGTCGACGAAAAAGATCCAATGACACGAGACGACTTAGAACCTACCGATGATTATCACTCAAGTCCTGTCGGGCTCACCGAGACCATCATTCCCTCTGTTAGTGAACTCACTCCTGACGCAGGACTTGCTACTTGGAATTATACAAGCGGCGCGTCAGAGGGCGGCCAAGACACTAGTGGAACATCAACTCTCAGTAACGTACAGCCTGACGAAGTATCCTCAACCGAGACCACCACCACCACCACCATCATCACCAGACCCCAGCAGGTGACCACCACCCTCGAGGAAGATAACGACTTGCTCACGACCAAAATCAACCCAGAGGACCCACTGTTATACACTCTCACTGACCTGTACGCTCAGTCCTACACTAACCCGAAACCTTCACAGCCACCAAGTATTACAACCACGACAGATCTTCCCGTCCCAGAAACAACCACGACACAACCCCACTACGAGACAGACACTACTACTTTCTCACCATTCCAGTCGGCTTTCTTTGATTTTGTCACAAATTTCTTCCAAGAAGACTCTCAGTCAACGTTCACTACAGAGCCGCCAACAGCTGCTGTGACCCAAACTGATTATATAACTTCTGTACCAGAGACATCAACATACACGTCACCAACACCAGACAGAGAGCAAACAGCTACCATAAAACTACCTTCAAGGACCACCACACTGTCCTCACTACCTTCTGGTATAAACAAAACTGATGACTTGATGACGTCTACACAGTCAGGTTATGAAGAGTCTAGACCCAACCACACATCCCCCCCTCACGAAGACGACAATCTGCTGCCTCTTAACATTCGCAATCCTTCTTCCCCACAAAGTCCTTACGACATCGTTCCCATTGAGGACCAAACACCTACAACCACCTCCACCAGTGCTGGTCAGAGTACGAGACCATCAAACCCTTATGACGGTCCAATAGAGCTGCTTGAGGTCATCCAAACACTTAGCCATCCAGGTGATAGTCTTCTTAATGAGTCCTCGGCGTCACTCCCAGACACTACCACGACCCTGGATCAAAATGGCTCTCCACATCCAACAACCCTCTTGCCGTCGACCCAGACTCCGAACATTCTGGACCAACACTTGAGCATCAGAGATATGATGACCCAGTACTACACCACTACCAAGAGTGACTTAATGGAAGAATCCACCACACAGGAGACATCTAGTGACCCATCAACACAGTCTACCACAACACCGGCACCAACCACACAGTACCTTACAACTCTGCCTTCTGGAGACCCTAGACCACAGACTGCAGGAGAGTTCCCTGGCGAGACGGACTTCTACTACAACAGCGACTCTAGCGTTATCCCACAGTCACAATTGGCCGACAAAAACAACAACAACAATGACAAAAACAACAACAACAGAGATAGGATTGACTTGGAATCACTACAGATCAACGGTGAGCTGACAGATGGAGATAATTTCTACGAGTACTACGGCTCTCCGGTCTACCTTGATAATCTCCCTGAGGTAAAGTGTTTAAGTGACCAAGATAAACTTTGTAACTAAACTGATACTTTAATTTATTTTATATCCAGTATTAAGAGTTTAAACTCCTCTCTCTCTCTCTCTCTCTCTCTCTCTCTCTCTTCATATCTACTCATCTACGTCTTTCTTAAACTCACTCATACGCTCGTTTTCACCTTCCTTCTTCCCCCAGGACTACTACAACTACGACGTGTATCAACCACCGGGACTTAACCTAAATGGCACGGAGAACCTTGATTTCCCAGGGCCCAACGCTACCAGTCCCTACCACGACCACCATGGAGAACATCACGGAGACCATCATGGTGGGCATCACGGAGATCATCATGGGGGGCATCACGGAGACCATCATGATGGCCTCCATGAGCATGTAGGGCCACCAGAAGACGCCACCACCCTCCTCCAGGCACCTGATAACAACCCAGGTCTTGAGGCTTCCGTCGAAAACCTGCATAAAGACGTCAGGGAATTTGTGGATGTCATGAATGATATCACATTCAAGGTGAGAGAACTTGACGTTATATAAGGTAGGAGTTGTGTGCCTTTTCTAGCCTATGCGTGACACCGCCTCGTTTATGTTGGCTGGTGATGTGAAGTTGTTCAGTCCTCACGAGTAAAATATCTACAACAACATTTAACATTCATTTCTGGTCTCATAATTGGATTCTGTCACCCTGATCTAGGAATTTCTCCATCACGAAAAGTTATCACAGAAAATGTACAAAATCGATTTTTTTTTTTTCAATTACTAATTTAACTTTGACTCGCCTAATTTACTTCGTTCCCCTCACCACCTTCCATCCTCCCACAGAGAAGAATAACTCTCATTATCTGAACACTTACCAATACAAATAGCTTTATGGAAACGTATTTTTAGATTCACTTTTTTAGTAATATTTCCCAAAATCGGTATAATTTTCGTAAGAAATTTTGATTTTCCGGAAAGTATTGAGTCCATTGTATAATATCTTTCATTCTTTATAACATTACACCTTCCTATAACTGCATCACATTCATAGTAAGATTAAAAATAAAAAATTGCCCAGTTATGAGAGATTTCATAACCAACTCTAGACACTAAGTATATTAAAACCATTCCATAAAGTAATCTTCCATTGATAAACAACACTTCTGACCTTACTACAGTACCCAGCTGAGAGAGATAACGCTGGAATATCATAGTGGGATAGCCAGTGTATATACCCCGAAGGATCGACCAAGGCTGAGCCAATACACCTTGTAGCCTGTATTGTCTTATTCCATCAACAACTAATTTAATTACCTCCCCTCCCCTTCTAGTCCTCGTAAATGTAATTAACGTTCCCCAGTTCCCCGTACAGGTTATAAAAAATCTCTACCCTTTTTTTTATCTTCTACGTTAATTGACTTAATCTACGAGCCGGCTCTACCCTGGGATGAAAACTAATATATTTTTCCGAGGTTTAACTTTCTTAATGAGACAAAAATATGTTTTTGATCTGGAGTTTATATTAAATTATCATCATCAACATCATCATCATCATCTTTACTAACGTAGGTGATTAGTAAAGCTGACCTCCACCTCCCTTAACTACGGTACAGTCAAGCCCTTCCCTCAAGCCAATATCAACACAGCCGCCAATACCTTGATGATCGACCCTTCGTTATTACCACTCGCCGTCGACAATAACGTAAGCCTTCCCCTTCTGCCTGAAAATAAAATACTGTTTTTTTTCTTCATAGATCAAGCCGCTGTAGTACCTCTATCACACCTTCTACAGGTTAATACGTACGCCACTACAGGTTTCATAAAAGTTTATCTTGGATTACCTGAAGATTAGCCCCCTAGGTTATTTCACTTTAAGGTTAACTACACTAATTAACCTAACCAAAATTAATTCTTACTTAACACTAACCTAACGCCTCCCCCCCCCCCCTAGGTAGCGTAAGGATATTAATCATCAGGTGAAATAAGCTATGGGGACTAATTTTCAGGTGATCCCTTATTTACCCCAGTTTAGGTATAAAGCAGTCTGTCGTATCACTGTCCAGCTTATCAAACGTTCCTGGAGGGTTGAGAACTCCCCTAACTGACTCACTTAAGCTGTTCCACGAGGATAGCAGCCGCAGTGGTGCCGATTTTGCGCTAAAACTCTATTAAATAATTATACACTGATGTAGTCTCCTCCCGTAGGTACAGTAAATAAAGATAGGAACGTATGACTCTCTGAGAAGCAGGAGTAAGGTTTTCTTTCATGGTTTTAGGGGGTACTTCGTAAATATGACCAGTTTGACCTCCCTCTATCTCACTACACCTCCCCATCCCGCCTTCAGCAGGAAAAAAAAGAGGACGGCTAAAACTGTTGCTTTTTTTTCTGGTTTATTGTCTGTTTTCACGTGAGATTCATGAAACAGTCAACACTTCATTCAACTGTCACTCCCGTCTACGCCTTCTGCAGGTGTGTGAGAGAGCTTCTAGGCACAGGGGTAACTCAAATGGAGGGATACATCCTACCGTTTCTCCTTAACTCACATCCCCTTCATCGCCTTCTGCAGGTATACAAGAAGGCTGCCAGCCAACACAAGCGGAGAAACTTCGTCATGTCACCCTTGAGCCTCATCTCTACCCTGGGCATGCTTCTCATCGGTGCTCGAGGGTACACCTCGGGAGCCCTGAGTGACCTGCTGCAGATGGACAAGTTCTACACCTTCAACCCTCACCTCATCCTGAAGAACGTCACGCAGTCTGCCCAGGCGATGAAAAACATCCACGACGTCGCCTTCCTCAACCAGTTCTTGGTGGAGAAGGTTGGTTGATTGGTTGGTTGGTTGGTTGATTGATTGGTTGGTTGATCTCTCGCATGATTGATTTAGATTTGTATTTAATGAAACATATAATAGTGTATGAAAGGTACAGCCGGTGTATATTTCTCAAAAGATATATTCCCGCTCTATAAATACATTATACGAAATATACACCACAGCTTATGTATATATACTTCACGAAAACTATATACCTTACGAAAATATACACCCGACTTAACAAAAATAATTCACACACACAAAATGACACACCGAGTAAAGAACAAATACTGATGTGTTTCATTACAGATGTGTAGATTGTTATTACAGATGTGTAGATTGTTATTACAGATTTATTCGAAGTAAAGGCGGGATATATTACGTTATTACACACCATTAAACACCTGGTATTGTATTTAAGGTCGTTTGTTGTAATACCAATTGTTAGTGGTGAAGTAATCACTTAGTTATACTCAACAATGTACAATAACGGGTTTAAATTATTATATATAGAGAATTATAAGAACAATTCCATATAGTTTTAGTTATAAATATTTATATGTAAAGAACTGAAGCTCTTGCAGGTTATGAATATACAGATGAAAGACTTGGCCAAGGATGATAAAAAATTGCAACGAAATTTGTCGAGGATAAATTTTAGCTGAAGGCCAGGATCTAATCTGATGGTTTAGGCAACGGTCTTAAATGCGAACGGAGAATATTGGACCCTACGGCCTTGACCCTTGACTGAACTCGACGTTAATACACGAGAGAAAAGTTTCCGTGAGCGGCGATATTTATTCAGGGGAAGTTGTCAGTTTGATGGCCTGTGCCTCCATCCGTGAGGAGTTTAGAGGATATGATTTATAGCCGTCCCAATGATCCTCTTCCCCACTAAACCTCTCCCCTACTGTAGAAGAGCCCCTCCTCTACCAGCTTCTTCTCTCACCACCTGTTGCACCTCCCACAGGAGAAGAACACCTACTCTACCGACTTCTTCGCCCAGACCATTAAAGTATTCTACAACGCAGCGATCGAGGACGTGGTACCTGCAAACCTTGACGCCACGGTCCGACGGCGAGTGAACGAGCTGGTGAGGAACAGCACCAACGACAATGTGAAGCAGTTCTTGCTGGAGGAAGAGCCCTTGTTCCTCACTCCGCCTCTCACAGCCGTCTCCACCAGCTTCCTCCATGTGAGTCTATGATTCATGTTCCCTTTATCATCTCCTTGTGTTTGTTTTTGTCAGTTATTCGATGGCTTTTGTTTTAAGTCGCATTTATTATGTTTTCTATTTTACTTTATTATCATAGATTTTTAATTACTTTCGTATATATTTCTTTATTATTTATTGATTGAATTTTTCGTATTATTATAGTTAATACTAACTAACGTATCCAACCTAACCCAACCATACTTAACTAAGCCCCCCCTCAACTACACTATCCAACTGCATGGCTCCCGGTAACTCCCCCCCCCTTCCCATCCCATGAATCTGTTCAGTCAAACAATTGCCGACTTTTATTATTACAAATTCACAAAAGAGGATAAAATCTACTTTTATTTGTCCGTATCATAAAGTATATGTTAAAATCGGCTTAACAAAACAGTACGAGAAAAAAAAACACTAATTGGGCCTCAGGTGCGTCTTCAGATTCACAGCTATGTGTGTGTGTGTGTGTGTGTGTGTGTGTGGTGTAATGGTCAGTTTGCGAGTGGACCTGGGTTCGATCCCCGGGCAGGGTGAAACTATGGACAAGTTTCTTTGCGCCATTTGCCTCTGTCTACCCAGCAGTAATTGGGAACCTGGATGTTAATCGATTTGCGGATCGTGTTCCGGGGTAATGGTTAGCCAGAGCAGTTGGCGAGTTGTCCGGTCTTCTCGGACTATTCCTTGATACTGGGACATGCAACTCGTTAACTTAGGGTGTGGTTGTTGTGTTGGCGACAGCTTCCACACCTTAAACAAATTCACTCCTAGGTGTCCCTTGGTCCTGCCATATATGTGTTTGTGTGATGTTAAGCCTGCGACTGTCACCTTAACGCCAGCTTGGGTTAATAACAGTTGACACAATATTAGACGAGGATTTTAAATATAATCCAAAAAATCGAAAACAAATCAACATTTCTTTGTATTATTAAGTATCATCAGCCATTTTGGATAACGTACGCTTGACAAGGACAAAAAAAATTCCTGGGGGATTATCCAAGGAAGAGTTCTGGAGAGTTTTAACACATATGAACCAATAGTTAAAGAGACGAGTAGAATGTACGTATATTTTCCCCGATCGACCATCCTAATGCCCCTAGTGAAAGTGACTCCCATAGACCTGCCAATCACTGAGGATATATAGCCGGCAGAACACTCGACCACCTTCTCCTCCCCATCTGTAAACACAGGGACCCATTCACAGCTGGGTGGGTTTAGGGGTGTTCCGTGCGTGAACTAACATCCCTTAAAACAGGTGATGAGTTAATTATCAATAGGTAATACTTAATGCTGCCTTATTTAACATATTTAAACATGTATATAGTTTAATAGTTTTTTTTAACACATCAACGTTGTAAAACATTATGGTGAATAAAGTTAAGCATCTCTCTCACACACATACATCCTCTTGAACCTTCACAACTTATAAAATTGACCATCGATTATACCACCAGCTCACTCCCTCCTTCACCCCCATCACCTTCTCACCATCCCTTCCTTTCTTTCACCCTCCTCCCCCTCACCCTCAATCCCTCCTTCTCTCCTCTCACCCATCTCCCTTCCTCAACCCCCCCTCACCATCCCTCCCTCCCTCACCTCTCTCCCTTAGCAAAATCAAGTCTCACTATTGAATTATCCACTTAATTGAAGTCTCCCGGAGATGAGTAAACACTTCCTCTATTACGGGTACCAGTGAAATTCCCTCTAATTAAATCTGTGAAAACCTTCCTCGTCTGGTGCTAGCGAGTGTTGGACCGACAGAGTCAGGGTAATGGTGTAGGAAGTTGTTGATAATGGATGATAAAGATTGGAAAATATATGGGTTCAGATTTTTTTTTTTATGTTTTTCAAGAGGATAATGATTTTGTGTGTGTGTGTGTGTGTGTGTGTGTGTGTGTGTGTGTGTGTGTGTGTCAATAGAGTCTGCCAGGTAGTATCCACACACGTCCAGGTTCCTTCACCACCTAATCTAATGTTAACCTTATGCATCCAACCTTAACCTAACCTAAGTCTTTCAAGCCTAATCTAACATAACTCATTCAAGCTTTACCTAACCTAACCCAATAAACTCTAGTAGTGAGAGTCTACCCGTGACCTCAGTATATCTGGTGGGGTAAATACAGTGGTAATAACAGTAATAAGTACCCTGGGAAGGTTTCTATATAACACTATTAATATTTACACGCAAGACAGTCCCGAGAGTAGATCCCGATCCTCGTTTCTTTAAAACTATTGAGCTTCATCCTAGGATTTAGCTGGACGATGACGATAATGTCCTGTTAGAATGGTGACGATAGGGTCTTCGTTTACAATGACAGCAGACGCCCTGAGAGTCAGATGTACAAGTATGCCTGGCACTACACTCGACCGCCTTCAATTGCTAAAACATGCCTTGAGGTGGAACAAACGGACCATATAACAAGAGGCAAGTGCTTTATCCAATCGGCCGCCGCACACCTAAAGTGAACGAGTAGGATCATAGACCTGAAGGAGAGTACTAAGCCTTTCTCAGTATACAAGGAGGCAGAATGGTAGGCAATGAACTGGAATAACATCACCTCGTCCCTAAAACACTAACAGTATTCAAGTCAACACGAGGGTGATGGGCTGAGGCTGAGGCTCTCCTGTGACACACTCACCAACACACTCATACTCTCTCAGTCTCAAGTGTGGGAAGTGACCACTGACCTCTTCTTTTTCCTTCAACCTGACCAAGATTTACCAACTACATGTACCGTGTTGGCCTCAAGAATAGAGCAAATGTCTCCATATCAAGTACATGTATGTGAAGGATGAAAGTGTCTAGTGTATGTCAACTACTAAGTAAACGATACCTATAATTAGTTAAGAAATATAATTGCACACTAATAAATCGGGTTTCAGAACGCCTTACGAGTCATATATGCAAATTAACAGGTGTACGAGGATATACTTAACTTAATGAGAATTTAGTGTAGTAACAATATGTATCTAAAAGTTAAATAAATGTTTACGATCATTAGTTAGACAATTAACTGCTAGGTGATACAACGAGATTAAAAACACCTTAATTAAAAGACATTATTTTTGGTAATTAGCGAGTGGATGGGAACACGGGAACACGTAATATGAGAGAGCGTCACTACAAGACCCAAGTTAACTTAGCTCTCCGGGGGTCCTTTGTACCTTGAGTCTCCTCCTCCTCCTCCTCCTCCTCCACTTCCTCCTGCTCCTTCTTCCTATAAGAGGAGGAGGGGAAAGAGGCAGTTCCCTGGTGAGGCAATTAACGGGGTAGTTAAGTGGCTGAGGTGCGTGGTGGTGCAGGTAGTGTGTTCCCCCAGGTCCGTCTGGGTGTGTTTCAGGAGGGGGAAGAGGAGGGGGAGGAGGAGAAGGATGAAGAGGAGAAGGAAGAGGGGAAGAAGTGAAGGAAGGGGAGGAAGAGGAGGGGGATGAGGGGGAGAAGGATGAAGAGGAGGAAGAGGAAAAAGAGGAAGAATAGGAGGAGAACGTAGAAAAGGAGAAGGAGGAGGAAGAAGGAGGAGAAGAAGAAAAAGGAGGAGGTGTAATAAGAGTAGGAAGAAAAAGATGAGGAGGAAATTTCGCCAGCATGTTGATTACTACGCGAAATTCGTCACAATGTCGTGTTCTGAGGAGCCATCAATAGTCTACAGGAAGGACCCCCACTGTTCCTCACGTGTAGTTATACCTACGAGACCCACATCAAATATTTCACCCCGGACAACTTAAGAATTACCTGTTATTTTGTTATTATGTAATGCTCTATGGTTCATTACTGCTGAAATCACATCTCAAGGGGCCCGCGGGACATCTTCAGTGTACGTCAATACCTCTGGGACCCGGATGAAACTTTGCTGGGGTTTTTTTGAGAATTAAATTTATATTCTTTTCCTATTTTAAAACATGCAGGACTCCCGATGACTGCAATAGATTTTACTCTAGAATCTAAGATGAAATTCTGAAGAACAAATTATCCCAAGGTGTTAATAAGATTTCCGCCACAGATAAAACATAGCAGAGATCACCTGAAGATTAACCCCGAGTTTATGTCACTTAAAGGTTAATTACACTAACCTAACCTAACTCTCCAGTAATTCGAGCATCATGAGAATTCCTCTGATGGAGTCGAACTAACCTGTTTCACTCGTGTTTGAGCTCAGAACACAACAATGGTGGAATTTCATCATTACTCACTCAATTACTTCTACAAACAATAACGTAATTTGCCTCTGATCACCTGTTAATATTAGCCCAACCCAGATTATTTACACCTAATAATTAAACAACTGAAAGCTACTTGGTGGGTAGGTTAGGTTAGGTTAAGTTAGGTGAGTGAATGACAGTGTGTGTGTGTGTGTGTGTGTGTGAGTGAATGCCCGTGTGTGTGTGTGTGTGTGTGTGTGTGTGGGCACGTATACACTCCAGCCATTAGCTCTGATAGTGAAAAGTTTTATAATGGCGTCGTTAGTAGTGTAGTTCCATAACAGAATTTAGTGGTCCTATGTTGATGGTGCCATTACGTTGGCGCTCTCTAGTGTGACTCTTTTGGTCGCCTTCTTCATTTATTCTTCATTCATCTTCGTTCTTCATTCATTTTTCTTCATTCATTCCTTTCGCTCTACTTAGTTATCAAAGGGAAGAAGAAGAAGTTGAAGTAGTAGAAGAAGTAGTAGAAGAAGAAGAAGAAGTTGAAGTAGTAGAAGTAGAAGAAGAAGAAGAAGTAGAAGAAGAAGTTGAAGTAGTAGAAGTAGAAGAAGAAGTTGAAGTAGTAGAAGAAGTAGAAGAAGAAGTTGAAGTAGTAGAAGTAGAAGTAGTAGAAGTTGAAGTAGTAGAAGTTGAAGTAGTAGTAGAAGAAGAAGAAGAAGTTGAAGTAGTAGAAGTAGAAGAAGAAGTAGAAGAAGAAGTTGAAGTAGAAGAAGAAGTTGAAGTAGTAGAAGAAGTAGAAGAAGAAGTTGAAGTAGTAGAAGTAGAAGTAGTAGAAGTTGAAGTAGTAGAAGTTGCCAGGTTTTGTGATTCATTCCCGGATATTAATGCATCTTAAGGTAAACACTTAGATAATTCTACCAGTTTTTAAATTTTGTAACTCAAGAACTTTGTTGACGACTTGGTGAGGTAGTGAGGTAATCTACTCGCTATGGAGAGGTTAGGTTAGGTTAGGTTAGGTTAGGTTAGGTTAGGTTAGGTTTGTATGTTCTAACAAGGTTGCTTTAGCATTAAATTATTATTTCTTCTATATATCTCCCTGTTTCTCCTGTTCTTTCATTTTCCTCCTTGTTCTTGCTCCTACCCTTCTCTCTTCTTCCTGTTCCTCTCTCTCTCTCTCTCTCTCTCTCTCTCTCTCTCTCTCTCTCTCTCTCTCGTTAAAGGGATAATTTCAGCTCTGTCTTAAGGTAATATAGTCATATTTATATCCATATGTAATCTGCATAAGCTGTATCTAAAGATGATTTACTTAATATATTCTTCAAAGGACATTTACATTATACGGTCTTAAGGTGATTTACATAAACTATATTTTAAAGTGATTTACATAACCTATTTGTAAACATGAGTTACACTGGTGAAGGTGATTTACAGTTCCTTCATATATATATAACAATGATTTACACATATATTAAGTTATTTACATGTTTTACGATGATTTACAGATGTATGAAACTAATTTACATACATTTGACGGTAATTTACATATGTTTTACGGTGATTTACAGATGTATGAAAATAATTTACATACATTTGACGATAATTTACATATGTTTTACGGTGATTTACAGATGTATGATAATAATTTACATACATTTGACGGTAATTTACATATGTTTTACGGTGATTTACATATGTATGAAAATAATTTACATACATTTGACGGTAATTTACATATGTTTTACGGTGATTTACATATGTCTTATCTTCACTACCAGGCTCGGTGGAGTGTGCCAGTGGTCCAGAGTGAGTTACTCGACATGCACTTCATCCGGTTTCCGACGGCTGAACGACGGCTGATCCGTACTGTCGGGCTCAAGAAGAAGATGACCATTAACGCCGGCTTTTCCAGGGCAGCCGGGGTGACATCAGCCGAGGTTAGTTAAAGCTGGGGTGACGTCGTTTAGGAAGGTCATAACAAGACCACTTTAGGAAGGTGACAACAAGACCACTTTAGGAAGGTCACAACAAGACCACTTTAGGAAGATCACAACAAGACCACTTTATGGGGGTGACAACAAGACCTCTTTAGGAGGGTAACTCTAAGACCACTTTAAGAGGTCACGACAAGTCCACTTTAAAAGGGTCGCAACAAGTCCACTTCTCATAATGACCAGTTTTATAATATATATATTTATAAAGAATTTAAACATATTCTACCTCTCTATACTTCACAACAAACACTGACTCCGTATTGTTGGAACTCTTGTAAGAAACTTTCTTTGGGGTGAATTTTCGTCTCGTGGAGAATGGAGGACTTTCTTTTCAGAGAAAGTTTGTCCCATAATAAGAAAACTTACGCTCAAGTAATAAGGGAAAGTTGTGATTCATACAAACGTTGTAATTTTCTTCAAGGATTAACAAGAGTTTTTGTGGAATAAATCAAAGATAAACCAAAGACAGTGATGAAATATTTTAAACCAGAAACAATGATGACATAATAATAATCTTGTGACCTAGAACACCTGCGATACACCTGTCACCTACAACACACCTGTCACTTACAACACACCTGTCACTTACAACACACCTGTCACTTACAACACACCTGTCACTTACAACAGACCTGTCACAACACACCTGTCACCAACAACACACCTGTCACCTACAACACACCTGTCACAACACACCTGTCACCAACAACACACCTGTCACTTACAACACACCTGTCACAACACACCTGTCACCAACAACACACCTGTCACCTACAACACACCTGTCACAACACACCTGTCACCTACAACACACCTGTCACAACACACCTGTCACCAACAACACACCTGTCACCTACAACACACCTGTCACCTTTAGCTTACCTTCACACTTAATTAACGTGTACAAAAGGGTGACGAGGAAAGTGTCTTCTGTGTATTAGTCTAGGGTTAGGTTAGGTTAGGTTAGGTTAGGTTGGTTAAGAAAGTTTAGGTTAGGTTAGGTTGAGTTAGGTTAGACTAGGTTAGGTTAGGTTAGATCATAAACCGAACGAGTTATATTTTTTCTTATTTCATTCTGCATCTCACATCTTATCTCTGGTGTCCAAAGCTTCACTACCCACCACTAACCTACTCTTCTCTCGTCAGATTCCCCTCTACTCGACCTCTGGCGAATTCTCTCTCGTGCTGGCGATGCCTGGCGAACAGAAGAACTTCGTGGCGAACGGATTAGCTCAGGTAAGATTCCGATGATCTGGTAGTGGTCAACCTAAAATGATGTCGTAACAGCTAACAGGTGTGATTACCTAGACAGTGACCCAATTGTCATGATCTAGAATGGTGACGTAACAGGTGTCATTTGGTAATGGTGACCTTTAATGATGACGTAACAAAGGTCATTTGATACGGATGACCTAATGTAACAACCTCATACCGAACTCAATAAAACATCACTTCCCCATAGCTAACTAAAGTGAGTCCCAGAGGTAGATACAACAAAGTCAATACTAATCCTTCGGTACACATGGAAACAATTTACCTGATACTGAACTAGACTACCTTCACATCCTCAACTGAACATTTAGGAGGTAACCATTTACATCAGAGATACCATAACACACACACACACACACACACACACACACACACACACACACACACACACACACACACACACACACACACACACACACAAAAAAAATCATGAACTTGAAAATAGACGATTCCAACCAGACAACTTAGGATAATTGGGTAGAATTTACTCTCAAAACAAACCAAAATTCTACCGTAAAACGACGAATGGAATATCTATTAAAAAAAAAAGAGAAATAATCAAAGCACAAAGCAATAATAGTAAACACTGATGATGAAAAAAACTTGAAAATTATGATGTTTACGGAGAGGGCAGACACGAATGATGGTGGGCTGTAGGCTCCCTCAAGGAATTTCCAACACTTGCTTAATTGGCTCGGTGGGGTGAAGAACTAGGGAACCAGCCAAGATGAATATGTGGTTAGTGGTGGGAATATGCATGTAGCAAGGGATAGATAGAAGGGAGAGGCAGTAGTGGGGAATATGCAAGTGGTATGAGGGATAGGAGAGAAGGAAACAGGGAGGAAATATTCATGGGCAAGGTTTTCAGAATTAAACAAAAAAAACGGGAAAATGTGGTAAAATGAAAAATAGAGAAAAAGAGAAAGTAGAGAGAGAAAAAGAAAGAAAGAAAAAAAAGAGAGAGAATAACATAGCACATTACGAGAATACTTTTTTTACGTTATAAAAATAAATAAATTAAGATCATGTTGAAAAACGCCAAGAGACTGAAAGTTCCACCAGATGACGGGGAGAGATGCTGAGGTTTTGCAAGATAAGGAGAAGATCGGAAATTGCCTGGATGTTGAAGGAAGAATATTCTCGTTAATAAATGGTCCGTGTGAGACCCCTCGCTCCTCTGTGATTCTCGTCGGGGCTGGAGGAGGAGGCGGAGGAGGAGGAGGAGGAAGAGGGGAAGCAGAGGAGGAGTAGGAGGAGGAGGAGGAGGAGGAGGAAGAGGGACCCCATTGTATAAAACCATAACTGATTTATGGGAGTTTGGTGAAGAAGGAGCGTGTTTATGTCATACAGTTAACACCTGCCCCAAGAGGAGTGAGGGTGAGGGGGTGTGGAGTGTGTGGAGTGAGGTAGGGGTGAAGGGGATGTGGTGTGGAGTAGAAGGAACAAAAGTTAACAGAAATTGGGGAAATAAACGAGCAAGAACGTTGTCGTTAAGTGAGGTACCTTGTGTCACATCAAACAAGCTGAAGGTCTCTTGGTGTGTAGTGAAGGGGCACCAGGATAACGCCGAGCTGCCTTGATATAATGAGCCCTGGTGATGGTGATAATGGTGGTGGTGAGTGGTGATGAGTGGTGTGGTGGTGATGGTGGTATGGTGGTGATGGTGATGAGTGGTGGGAGAGGGTGGTGGTGGTGGTGTGGTGTTGATGTTTTTTTTTTTACAGAGGGCAGCAGCTAGTGTATTGTGCACCCCTATAACCATCCTGTCAGTGGTAGCGCAAAAAAGGATTACAGAACAAAGGTCACAAAGAACGTTGAGTGTTACAGAGTATTAACCCGTACATTGTTTGTTTAGTTCAGCACATAGAAGTTTTTTAGCCACTCTATGCGAAATGTGGATACAGCTTTAGTATATCAGCTATTGTATACACAGTTTGTTTGGATCTGTCCCGAAAAAGATTATATTTTGTCAGTCTAATGCGTAGTGTTGGAGTGTTCAGCCATCTAATAAACTGAACACTGCAACACTATGTCTTAGACTGTGAAAAAGAATTGAACCTTTTAGAGACAGGTCCAAGCACACCGTGTATGCAATGGCCACACACTTTATATTTTGGTTTTGTTCACATCTGCTTAAAGGGAACCTAGCCAGAGGTACTTATATCCTAACCTTAGTCTAGCGGTTACAACATCTTGCAATCTAGTGATGTTGTTACTTGTTCCATATACTGTACATGTTTCACCTGATACATCTCATCATGGTAAACAATGGGTTGACTTATATCTGTTTGCACTTGTCTACGTACTTTAAATTCATCAACAAGTGCTTTCCCGTGTACAGTGTTTAGGGTTCTGATTGACAGACCCAGATTGTATTCAACAGTGTCTTTGTTGGACGCGAGTTTAGCTAAGGCATCAACTCTATCATGTTCACTAATGCCTATGTGAGGGGGATCCACAGCAGCTTGATCCTGATATATTTATCAACAAGATACATATACTTGTGTCTGGCTTCAGAGACAAGCGGGTGACAGTCTTAGTTTAGGGTATCAAGAGCAAGAAGTGAGGATAAGGAGTCAGTGATGATGAGACTGTCAGTGGCAGTGTCTTCAACAAGTTTCAGGGCTGTGAGTATGGCTCTATTACAGCCCTCCCACAGTGTAGAGGGACTGTGTTATGTTATTATGTCTGTAGGTTCTGTATGTGTTCAAGAGCTCTCGCTTTGGCGGTGTGTTGGAGATAAGGATTGTGTGTGATCACTCGTTAAGGTGGGTATATCAGCTTTGTGTCCCAGTGGCGCAATCGGTTAGCGCGCGGTACTTATACGACAGTGTCTGAGCCATGCCGAGGTTGTGAGTTCGAGCCTCACCTGGGACATTCATTTTCGACCTGTGGTGTAATTGTCAGCATGCTCGCCTCGCAAGCGAGTGGACCTCGGATCGATTCCCGGGAAGGGTGAAACTATTTATGGGTAAGTTTCTGTACGCCATTTGCCTATGTTTATCCAGCAGTAATTGAGAACCTGTTCGGTCTTCTCGGACTATTCCTTAACACTGGGTCTCGCAGACTCGTTAACTCAGGGTGAGTAATATGTAAGACAAGGGGTGTCGTCCCCCTCTGTTTAACTCATTAAACTTCTTTTCCAACCTTTCCCCCCACGACTATATGTTGTGACTTCTCTATCCCTCATGTCTGGCTGTGCCTTGAGCCCCAGCATGCCTTCCATCCTTTCCCCACCTTAACCTAAAAAAAAAAAAAAATCAGGGTGTGGTTGTTGTGTTGACAGCTTCTACACCTAACAAAAAGGGTTCACGAATTAAAACAAACTCAAGTGAAAATATTCCTTCCTCTTACCTAGAATATACTGTATCACCTGTTTATACATACAAGCACTTATTATGATTCAGGTAATATTAACTTCAGGTATGTGCGTACACATTTTATATATTTTTACTCCAAACTTAATTAAATTCCGGCTTGATATACACCACAGAAAGCGAGTTTGAAAAAATAAATATTCCTGGTTTTTTTTCTATTCGAGTCGAAATCTCGTTGTGGTATAAATGTGATAATTCAAGTCCATCGCTGCATTAAACTTACACGATTAAAATCTTTTTAGTCTTGTTTTGACAGAAATGGTACAATATATTTTCTTGTGTTGAGATATTCATAAAATGACCACTAGGGATTTTAAAGCCAAGAGATTCTAATTTTGTGAAGCTATGCCGGTACTACTGCAGCCGTGATGTTATTATTATTATTATTATTATTATTATTATTATTATTATTATTATTATTATTATTATTGTTATTATTATTATTATTATTATTATTAATTTTATTATTATTATTTATTATTATTATTATTATTATTATTATTATTATTATTATTATTATTATTATTATTATTATTATTATTTGAGTTGGCAAGTGGATCGCGAGCGTGCCTTCAATACCACGTCAATGGGTCATGGGTGTGGTGAAGGCGATACCTCCTACAGCAGGAGTTTGAGGCCTCTAGTCACGTTCCTTCTCCAGGGGACGGTGTCTTGGACGAGGTTCCCCCCCCCCTGGATATTTTGGTCCTTTGAAAATGATAGAATATAGGATGGCACACACACACACACACACACACACACACACACACACACACACACACACACACACACACACACCTATAAAGACACTCTCCTCTCTCTTCCTAAGTACACTAAAACAAAATAATACCACATAAACACAGTCAGTACCTGTTCTAACCCTTCACACGCGCGTGCAGGATAAGGAGGCAGGAATTGAGTGCGTTGCTTGCTGATGGTCTCAAGTCAATAGAAGGTGATTGCAAGGGGTGAGCCAAGTTTTTCCTGGAGGATAGGAGAAAAGAGGAGGAGGCAGAGGAGGAGGAGGAGGAGGAGGAGGGGAGGAGGAGGAGGAGGAGGGAGGAGGAGGAGGAGGGAGTTGATGAGGAATTGATGAGAGGAAACTCATACGAAGATAGAATTATGTAGCTGTGTGAAATTTTCATGGAGAGAGAGAGAGAGAGAGAGAGAGAGAGAGAGTAATAGAAGAGAAGTGCTAAAAATACAGAAAAAGAGAAGATATAGACAGAATAGAGAAGAGAGAGAGAGAAAAAAAATAAATATGAAATAGAAAGCAGAGAGAAAGAGACAAAGAGAGAGAGTACCCAAAAAATAAAGAAAGCGTACCTACAGACAGTGAGACAGACAGACAGACAGACAGACAGAGAATAATCTACAATCCACAAAACTCAACTTTTATCCGTCAACAGATCCACGAGGTCACGATGAAGGGAAACGAACCCAAACTCTTTATAAAACATAATAGTAATCGTAAAATAAATTGAAAATAAATCTTAACCAATGAGGCTGGTTGTTGGGTAAGAGAAAAAAAAATAAATTGTTGGATTAAAAAAAATTAGTTGTATATTTCACCATTTTTTTGTTTTTATTGTTAGTTTTTATTAATATGATAAATAAGGGTTGTGTATACGTTACCCTTCAAGTGCTTGTTTGTTTACATTGGTGAAAGAGAAGTGTTTTTTTTACGGTGTTTTTAATTTCACTGGTATTTTTTTTCTTCTCGGGTGTGTTTACGTAAAGCCTCCAAAGGTGATTAATTTACGCGTTTTGATTTTTTTTTTTAAGAATGATGATGTGAGTTGAATTAATCTGTAGGTAGTGACGATCATAAAGACAAACATGATGAAAAGTGTAAATAAACAGTTTCAGTACCAACCTAACCTAACCTAACCTAACCTATTATGGCTGTTGGACTCCTGATCTGAGGAAGTGTTCTGACTATCACACCACCAAACACTGGCGTTCCTCCTATATACATATCTTCCCCTGACACACCCTCTTACATTTAATAATTTACATATTTAGACAAACTAATAGACAGATAGATATAGATACAAGGTCTAGCCAACCAGTTGTCACCGTAATTATAACACCATTTGTCCCAACAGCTGGAGAAGACGTTGACCCCAGCTAAGTGGAGTCAGGTGCTGAGGTCGATGTTACCCAACACTGTGAACCTCAAGATGCCGGTGTTCAGGCACAGAGCCTTCCATAACTTCTCCTCCGTCCTCGACGACCTGGGGCTTGGTCAACTCTTCCAGGTGAGAGAAAAAAAAATAGTTGCTGTTTATTAACGATTATATGTATGTGTATATTTAACTGTCTATCAGAAGAAAGATAAAGTATACATAGGTGTATACTGTGTGTGTGTGTTTGTGTATGTATGTGGTCATATAATTAATTATTGTTTGCTATTATTGACAATAATGTTGTTGAAGTTTGTCATATGCTGTATTACGAAGTTTCCTTTTCTTGCTTTCCTGTGTAACCTCTCTCTATCAAACCCATCATTATTTTCCATCAACGTTTCTCATTTTGCAATCACTTATCTCTCCCCCACAACTAGCCAAAATACCATGATAACTTTTTATTCCTCTCCTTGCAATCTCTCTTTACTCTCCCTCTCATATCCATCAGGAAGGCAAAGCGGACTTCTCAGGCATCAACCACATCAAAAACCTGCACCTGAGCGACGTGGTTCAGCTGACAGAGTTCCAGTCCTGCCAGGTGGAAGAGCCGCCTGAAAATGGGGCGATCACTTCCCAGAGGAGGCAGTCCAGGTCGTCGCTTTCAGGAGATGACGGCAACGACATGAGCGTCAAAGAGGCCTCAATGACGTACATCTACGGATTCCCTATGCGTGATTACCTCCAGCTTGACAAGACGAAGCACCTTCGTATGGATACTACCGGCGATGGAGCGTTCCAACGGTATTTCCAAAAGCAGGATTCTTCACGAGACGACGATGACTCCCAACAGCAGGCATCCCCTACCGATAGTGGCTCGTCACAGTGGACGTCCTCGACAGGCGAGAACTCCCCACAGAAATCATTGTCGAAAGTTAACGCCTCTCCCCCACAGCAGGCGTCCTCGACAGACAACGACTCTTCCACACAACAAGCGTCCTCGACAGACAACGACTCTTCCACACAACAAGCGTCCTCGACAGACAACGCCTCTCCCCCACAGCAGGCGTCCTCGACAGACAACGACTCTTCCACACAACAAGCGTCCTCGACAGACAACGACTCTTCCACACAACAAGCGTCCTCGACAAACAACGACTCTTCCACACAACAAGCGTCCTCGACAGACCACTCGCCACAAGAGACACCAACGACTACACCACACACCAGACCAACACAACAAACTCGGATCGAGAATGATGGAAACTCATCCCCCCAACCGTCCTCCCCCTCCTTGGACTACCCGTACGACCATTACGACAACTACGGCGAAGACAGAAATGCCTACGAGGAAGCGAGTCCATACCTAGGATCTGAGGACTACCGAGTCGACCGCATGGGAGTTACCGACACAGCGGATAATGACAGTACCCCATCGAGACCCTCCGACGGCGCTTATTACCGACAGAACAAAATCGGGACATTGGCTTTCGATAGAGCCTTCTTATACGCTGTCAGACACAATCCCACTGGACTGTTACTATTTCTCGGTCGGTATCTAGACCCAGAGGGAAACTGAAAGCCACCACCACATTTATATAGTGATTGAACTAATTAATTCTACTTACCTATTTGTATGAGGGAGCTAACACTAGACAGATGGCTGCCTGGTACAAATTATGGTTAAAATTATCGACTTGTGATGTAAGGTTGTCCACGTAGTAATGTATAATAATAGGAAATTACTGGTTAACTTTTGGAGAAGGAATGACTGTTCTGTAAATAGGTTGAAAGTGAAGACAAAATTAAGCGGGATATAATTGTATGATTCATGGTAAGATTCAGAGAGTAGTTTGGGGCTACAGTCAACACAGGTACAGATTTAGGTATAAAGGACAGGTACAGATTTATTAAAGTTGAGGAATTGGGAGAGGGGTATGGGGGAAGAAAGAGGAAGAGGGGTATGGAGAGAGAAAGAGAGGAATTGAGAGAGGAAGGGACAAGGATAGGGAGAAGAGGAGGGATGGAGAGAGGAGAGGAAAACATGGGGAGAAAACGTAATAGTGGAGAGGTGTTAGTGACAGTCTTTCTTTATATAGTGAGCAGAAATAATCGCATTTCATTACAAACTGAGAGACGTGGCCACTCTACTTAATGCGATATTAATTCAAACTAGATTAATGTCACACACACACACACTCTCTCTCTCTCTCTCTCTCTCTCTCTCTCTCTCTCTCTCTCTCTCTCTCTCTGTGTGTGTGTGTGTCTATCAGGGCTCCTTCCTCCCCTTTCCTTCACTTGTCCATTTTATCCTTTCTCTCTCTTCCACGTTCTCCCCCTTCCTCACTTTACTCTTTTTCCTCCCATTTTTCACTGTACGCCTCCTCCCCCCCTCCTCCTCTCTCCTTCTCCATCCATTTTTTTGATCTTCCTCCTCTCCTCCACCTTTACTCCTGTCACCTTTACTTCACCACCACCACAACCTCCTCCTCATCTCCACCACACTAAAAGCTTCTCCCTCATTCCACCATCAACACAGTCACCAACACCACATTTTCTCCCCTTCCCTTCCCTCTCCTCCCTTTCCCCTCCTTTCTCTTTACCCTCCCCCCTCCCCCCACACACACTACACACTCGTAAACACACAAGAGTTAATCATCTGAAGTCTTACCCAAAGGGACTCCGGGTAACACTTAAGCGGGAGGGAGTAGATCTAACTATTTAAAAGCCCATTAAAAAAATCGAAGAGGGACCAATTTCCACTAAAAAGGGGGTCGTTTGGTATTGAAGAGGGATTATATTATCATTTATAGGTCATTTAGCTTTCAGACGTCTTCATGTACAAGCACCATTTCCCCCCTCAAGTGAGAAATATTTTATAAAGGAGTTTCTCACGCTATGGTGTGTGTGTGTGTGTGTGTGTGTTGTTATTGTTATTGTTATTTATTATTATTATTATTATTATTATTTTTACTATTTTTATTAGTTATTTATATTATTATTTATTATTATTATTAGTATTACTGTTGTTGTTATTACTGTTATTATCATTGTTATCGTGTTATTGTTAATGCTGTTATTTTTATAGTTAGTATTGTTTTGCTATTACTAGTGATTTTATCATTTTAATAACCACTGCTATTATCATTATTATTATTATTTCCCTATCAGTGTTTTCATTATCGTTATTGTTATTAATATTATTCACATCATTTTTCAGTAATTAGCTTTTTGTTGTCAATTCTCTCTCTCTCTCTCTAGTAATTTTTATTTGAATATTTACTATTTTTAATTAAATCTTTTTTACATACGTTTTAACTACAGCTGTTGACCCGTATTCAGTACATTTAATACACGATTCTGTAGTTGTTGTCTGAGTGACTGTGTCATATTGAGTGTAGTTATGAGTGTTAGGGTCTGTATGACTTAATTATTTGTTATTTATTCATTCATATATATTATACATGCATTATTTCCGTATAAATTGTGTATTCATTTATGTATTATCCCATTTATAATCTATACATGCATTATTTCCGTATAAGTTAATTATACTATATATTCATACAAGCATTATTTGTACATAGAGGTAATTATTTATATGATTTAGTAAGGTAGATTCCCGACAGGTGTTGTTATGTGAGGGACAGGTGAGATAATTGGGGCGTTTACCTGGAGACAGAGGAAAAAAAAATTACCTGTTTGTTTATCAGGCGTTTGTGTCTATTGCCGTGTTGAGTCTATGAATAAAAGTTTGTTTTTATGATTGAATGGTGTTTTATTTTGGCCATAGAGGGATGAGGGGGGGAAGGGGAGAGGGGAAGAGGGGGAGGGAGGTGGTGATGGAGGGTGGTGATGGAGGGGGTGGTGATGGATGGAAGAAGGAAAGGTTGGGGATGGTGGGAGGAGAGGGGGTAGAGGAAGAGGGAGGGAATGAGGGAAGGAGGGGAGTGGGTGGGGAGTAGTAGTAGTAGTAGTATTGACAGTAGTAGTAGCATTAATTACACATATACAACACCAGTATTAGTGACCAATGACGCTCCAATACGCCGGTGACGTCACAACGTTACCTATCGACTAGGGGTCCTCCTACAGGCAAATTATACCATTTAAGGCCTAGTCAAGGAGACCAATTGCACGTCAGCATAGTAATGACGCCATTATAAAACCAACCAATGCTGCTATTGTGAGGAGATGACGTCAGACATGGAAGAACCAATAACACGCTGTCAATGGATGACGTAACAGACAGAGCGGCGGGGGGGGGGAAACAACCTCCGCTCCATGTTGAATTAATTAGTTCCCAGAACGCCTCCCACCGTTCACCTTTTTTCTACCCTTCCCTGAGACCTGTAGGTAATTGTTTCCCTCATTATATTATAGTGTGTGTGTGTGTGTGTGTGTGTGTGTGTGTGTGTGTATGAACAACGCATCTCGTAAAAAAAACAGCATTTCTAATTCTGATCAAACATATACCAGGTGGAGTAATAAAAACGAACTAAGTCTAACTACCTATAATATACGAATAACTTAGATATGAATCAAATGTTTATCTCAATCAATTTAAGAAACACTAAGACGGGAGGTAAGGTACTTTAATGTTTCCCTTTACCTGGGTTTGTTTTATCAAGATTTTCCCTGTGCCTTAACCGCGTTGCACATAGACTTAAATATAGCTAAATATAGACACACATCTCGGCCTAGTTAGTTGGTATGCATGGAAACTTGGGGGAGAAAATTACCTCAAGCAAACGAGAGAGAGAGAGAGAGAGAGAGAGAGAGAGAGAGAGAGAGAGAGAGAGTCTTCACGTCATACTTTAGCATGTAAACACAAATTCATTAATAAGAAAGTAATGGCAGAGTAGTCGATAGTGTAAAATTAAAAGCTCGAAGTTCTTTCTATTTTAACTCTCTCTCTCTCTCTCTCTCTCTCTCTCTCTCTCTCTCTCTCTCTCTCTCAAAACATCATCTTACCTCGCCAAGAACACACCCTCCCCCCACCACCACTCCTTCCCACCATCCCATGATAAAATAAAAAAATAAGTAAATGGCTTAGATATTTCACATAAAAAGAACAGCTGACGTATATCATCCCTCTTGACTCCCTACCAAGGTTGTTGACGAGTGACCAAAACATCATCGACTTTCAGATTTACGGACGGACGTGAATTTTTGTGTGACTAAAGAGGAAATATACAAAGTTGAAAAAATGATCTACATAAATGAGGCACTGTAGCTAATTCTGTGTGTGTGTGTGTGTGTGTGTGTGTGTGTGTGTGTGTGTGTGTGTGTGTGTGTGCAGGAGGTGTTTCCGCTATGTGGCATTTAGGGAGGAAGACCAGGCAGGGGAAGCATAGGTGAGCTTGAGAAATATGAATGTTGAGTAACTACTGAGGAGCTCCGGTGGGGGAACTCCGACAGACTTGAAACGACGGAGGCGAAAGCTGACGGTGTGTTTTCCAGTTCAGTTTGTTATCTATAGTGACGCCGAGGAGTTTAGTGGAGTCTACAACCTGGAGTGTGTTGGGGCCTAAAGTAATGGCGGGAGGCGGGACAAGGTCAGAGGAGAGGTTGATGTGTATAACTATGGTCTTGGTATGTGTGTGTGTGTGTGTGTGTGTGTGTTCCATGCAGGTATCCATATTCATCTCTCCACAATAAATAATTTAAAATACCATTGTTTGTTCAGAACTTTTATTAACAGTTTGTGTATAAAATGGACCGACGCATTAAAAAAAAAATCAAATAAGTAATTTACTCTTTCATCAATATATGAACAATATAAACTGTTCCGTTGTTCAATATTTTCTCGTCAAAATTTATTGTTGAACTTTGAAATCTTCGTAGTGTGTGTGTGTGTGTGTGTGTGTTTGTGTGTGTGTGTGTGTGTGTGTGTGTACCTGGTCTTTATCTGTATCTCTCAACTACCTAATGACCATCGGAATCACCTGAAAATTAAACACCACCAGCTTATCTCACCTGATGGTTTGCTTCGGTTAGATTAAGTTAGGTTAAATTTACTTTAGGTTAGATTAAGTTAGGTTATGTTTGTTTAAGGTTAATCATCATTAGATTGATTTAAGTTGGGGTGCCTAATCTTTACCTACTGCCAACAATACACCAATTGGCTACTCCTCTACACAGGTCTCGTACACACCCGAGGTAGGTATCGACTTCTCCACCTCCCTCGCCACACCATATACTGCGTCTGTGTCCTGCTGAGTATAGGTTTCTTCTGTATATTTTTGCTCCAGAGTTTGGGAATGTGAAAGGTAACTGCAGAAAAGTACATTGGAACGAGTGAGATGATTTATTATTATTGTTGTTGTTGTTGTTGTTGTTGTTGTTTTTGTTGTTGCTGTTGTTGTTGTTTTTGTTGTTGTTGTTGTTGTTGTTGTTGTTGTTGTTGTTTTTGTTGTTGTTGTTGTTGTCGTTTATATTTGTTGTTGTTGTTGTTTTTGTTGTTGCTGTTGTTGTTGTTTTTGTTGTTGTTGTTGTTGTTGTTGTTGTTGTTGTTGTTTTTGTTGTTGTTGTTATTATTATTATTATTATTATTATTATTATTATTATTATTATTATTATTATTATTATTATTCATTTCATCAAGTTTTGCGATTTTTTTATTTAATTTCTCAATTTATCTGGAAGAGTAAAGGGTCATTGACCTCTCCTAGTGTGTGTTTAGGGTAAATCTCCCTCCATCCCCGACCTCCTCACCTGGTAATCTAAGGAGGTTGAGTGAATAATAATACATTGAATAGCATAACATTAAGCCTTTTAAATGGTCTCAGATAAAAATAACCTAACCTAACCTTCCTGACCAGTGAGGATTCTTTCATTCCCGTAAAAAAAAAAATTTCAATATGTTAAAATTTCTATACTTTTTATATAATTTTATCATCCGTCTGTTTTAGTTTAATTTTCTGACCAGCTAAGGACGAGGCCACACCAGGGTAACATTG